TAGTTACTATTGAACTTGAATAGGAAGTCATATACTGGCAATTTACTGTGACATTAAAATTGACCTTTGCAGTCTGTGCCAAAAACTTTTTGGACTACTAGCCCTTCGGGCTAGCAGGGTCTAAAAATTTACTAGCCCGAACCAAAAAACACTAGCCCGAATATAAACAATTCATTTAAACAGTATATGTAGGTGTTTTAAGAAGTTGTGTATCAAAGTAATTTAAAAACCTTGTGAGGTGAGTCAGTCAAGTTGGTCAAAAGGCTTTTATTCAAGTTCATGGGATTTTGCAGCATATATTGCCAGATTTTTATTAACTTCAGCTTCGGTAATTTCTTCTTCTGAATAGTAGTCGCTGTCATAACTGTCTCCAGCAGTATCTGGCAGGTCCTGAAATGTTCATCATTGCTTTTGTTACATATTCAAATCACTATTTTTGTAATGTTTTAAATATACATCTTTCTAATTTGTGCCATTGTTGTTAAGTCAGCTTACCAATTTTTTTCAAAATAATACAAGGACATTTACCTCTTCCATTTCTCCCTCTTCTTCATCACTCTGATATAAAAGAAAAGAGTTTTTAAAGTCAAAATGCCAGTAATGAATTAAATAAGTTCTCTGTTTAAGATACAGAATTACCATACATTCAATGATAGGGCTGATGATATTGCTTATAATTAACTCAAAATGTCTTAACATTAATACTGTTAATGCAATAACTATGAACATATTCAGTTAAAACATTCACCTCTGCAACTCTTGGCATATTGGACAGCAGGGGTTCAGACTCTCTGCTGATGGATGGCAGAGATTCAGGCTCTGTCTCAATGGAAATCAAGCCAGGCTCTCTGCTAGTGGATGGCAGAGTTTCAGGCTCTGTCTCAATGGAAATCAAGTCACTGTCAGACTCTCTGCTGGTGGATGGCAGAGATTCAGGCTCTGTCTCAATGGGATTCATATCGCACTCTCTGCTGGTGGATGCTGATGACAAGGGTTTGGGTCTTGTATACCCGACTCTTCTTCTCCGTCCTGAAGGAGTTACCTAAAGGAGAACATAATTCGTAATTATTATTCAACTTTAACAATGAAAAATAAAAATATTACAACAGGGTCAAACAAAAATGGGATGCTTACCATCCAGTGATCAATGGAATTCTTCGGATCAAATTCTTCTACTGGTGGACTGCAGGTTTCTACCACCAGTATATCATTCAGGTTTGAAGTTTGCAGGTGGCCTCTTCTCTTATTTTTGGTAAGCTTAGACCTTGAGAAAGTTGTTTCATTGTTGACACTTGTTGGAGGTAAGGTCAGAAGTAAGTCCATCACAAGGGAAATGTTTTTGTATTCTCTAGCAACAAGTGGTAGAACACTGGTCCATGTGAGCGATTTCAGATTGCTTCCATGTCTAAAAGATAAACGTTATAGTCATAACTATGGTAAGACAAGACAGCTCAATTAATAACAATTTTTACCACAACAATAAATGATACATTAATACTGTTCAATAAATGATTTCTCTCTCATTACTTGTTTATAACAATAACTTACCTATTGTACACATAAGACTTCAAAAACACCCATTCTGTTAACAGCTCAGACAAGCTACAGTCACTGTCAAAGCCACCATTTACTAGTGTATTCAACATTCCACTGTAAATCTCCTTCAGCATTTCATCTCCATAATCTACCGGTAAAAGAAAATGGTGTCATTAACATTTTTAAGATGACAAAAAAAGCAAGACTGTATACTTTTCTAAAATGTCAACAAAAATGTCATTAAATATACAAAACAAATCATATTACAACTGAAATTTCATTAATATATGAGTACAAATTTTGCAATTATATAATCAAGCAGTACTGTAAAGGAAAAATAATTTCTATTATCTCCTGTAAAAAAAATAAAAGGTTAGTATCATAACAACATGCAAAGAACATAAATTATTATTAGTAAAATCAAAACAGTAACTGAACACATTCTGTTGTGTAACCTGCTTCGTTGGTTTCTGGCCAGTTTCTAAAAGATGAGATGGCACTGGCTTGAACAATGTTGGTCTTAGGAAAGCGATTCTCAAGGCTATTTATGAGCTGCTTGACCATTGGCTCATGAAACCCATAGCCTGTGTCTCCAGTCAATGACTCATCCATATATGACTTAGTGGCCAGCAATGTAAGAACTTCCTCATTGGGCCTAGTATTGGAATTTAAATATCATCAGAAATACAATTTAACAAATTATTACATCTTACTGAGGACTTTCTTAGATGTTAGTAATTACTAAGTAAAGAAAACCTGTTTATTTCATTACTATGCTTACATTGGTTGCATGTGAATGAGAACACCTTTTGTAGCCTCTAGGTAACTGAAGCTGTCTGCAAGGGAAATCCCCCTCTCTTGCATCTTCAAGGACAGTTTCATCAACACAGCAAGGATAAACTGAAATAAACAATAAATGCCAAGATTAGATTTAGGAATGTATTGAATGAATAGTTTCAATGAATAGTTTTGAAAAACTGGTTTGAGTAACTTGGTTATATTATTTTAACATTGTTAGGACTTCCAATTTACAAAAAAAAAAAAAAAAAAAAAAAAAAAAAATTATTCAAGCTTTATTTACTTCAAATTTGAAATATTGATTTAGGAATGCACCTTTTATTTTCATTATTAATAATAATTAACCTTATTTAAAAAAGGTAAAACATATTAAGTTTAAAACATAAAATTGTCTACACAGCCTTCTATTCATTATATACCTTGAGATCAAGGATGAAACCCATGACAGCAGTATTTTTCATTAGTTTTACCAGCCCCTGTGCCTTTGGGGCAGTGTGAGAACTGTTTTCCAGTTGAATTTTAATTGCCCTGTACCCTTTCAAGTAGGCTGCTATTGCCTTGCACAGGTGGGGCAACCAACGGGTGCCCCCCACCCTAGTAGGCAAAATGCTGGTCATTCTCAGGGTGTCAAAGGTCTTCAACAATTCACGCTTTTGTTTGGGGCTTTTTCTATAAAAATAGTATAGCCCTGCAAAATAAGCAATACTGTCACAATTGGGTTACAAACTCATTTAATTTTTTTTCCACATATTTATTGCACTTGTACATATGTACTCCTCAGAAATTAATTCTATTTTGTAATGATAATGTAACCAGTTTACTGCTTACCCATTAATAAAGTGATGGACTTTTCATACAGTTTTGATTTCTTCACTGCATCCTTAAATGCAAGCTCTAGCCTATGGGCTGTGCAGTGAATGATTACGGTCTCTGGATTCTTAGAATTCACCATAGATGCCACACCAATTCTTTGGCCTGAAGCACAAATGTCATAATCAGTAATAATCACATAAAGCTGAGTGTTACAACATGCAATATAACATATCCCTGAAAGGGTAAAAGTGAAAGGGAACATATTTCAGTGTTTATGATCTTTTGAATTTTAAGATAAATTTAATGCACATATCCCTAAACTTAAACTTTATCATGATATATATACCTGTATAGGCAAACAATTTGACAATTTTCCCAAAACAAAAAGTGAATGAGCAGACAGTCTTCTCATTAAATTAGAATATAGAATTATAATAACTTCCATTTCATCACCTTGCATGTTAGAAGCACCATCTGCACAGAAGCAACAAATTTTGGGCCAGTGATCTTCTGGACTTGAAAAGTTTTCACATGTAGAATCAATAAAGGTAAAAATGTCATGTCCTGTAGCTGACTCGGGTGACCCTATATAACAATACAAAATATTAACTTTAGGTACTTGGCACAAGTTTGCAGGCTATGGTAAATAGGGTAGACTGTCAAACAGCTCATTTATCCTTACAGACCATACAACCAGAGATCATTCAAATTCGTGACAATCAAATTCTCTTCTTAAATTAATAAAATACTTGTAGACTTTTTCCAAACAACAAACATTCCCTTACACTTAGAAAGTAAAATATTGCTTACCAATTCCCATAAAACGTTCCACAACTTTTCCTTGGTGACATGTCCTCATGAACATAGATTCGTATTCTTCCCCGGTGAAGTCGGAGGTTCCATCAGCTGTTATGCTTACAAAATTTGCACACTTGAAAATGTCGCTCGTCTCTTTCTTTTCTACTGCTGCAATACTCTTTACGAATTCAGCCGCCTTTTTGTCATTGATGTAACTGACCCCCACATCGAGCCCCTTCGCTGTGTCCAGTTTACATAGTAAAGTGAAAGTTTTAAAACTGAAATGGTGTTTTGCCACCGCGTGAGCATTTCTAAACAGAATGCTCAACCGGTCTCTCTCGTGAGCTTTGAGCGATTGCAGTGTCCTGCCAGCCTGGGATTCAGCAGGTCCAGTACTTTCAGAAGCCTGTTTTATGGAAACTGCCCTTTCGTGACATTTAGATCGTTCGTGAGACTTTATCGCCTCTATCCGGAAGTTGGTCGTCCCTGTGACAAAGTTGTTAATGGAATCTGACGTGCCGGCGTGCTCCTTGCATAAGAGGCATGTCATGATACCCTCTTCTTCGTCATAACTCAGCCAGGCTCTTCCATCCTTCCAGGATGGCTGGAAGGACCTTTTTCTTTTTTTTCATAGGCATCCGAGCTTTTTGCATGTCCAGAGGCCTTTTCTTTTTGTTTTTTCCCAGGTATGGAGCCCTCTCGCCATTTTAAAAACGACATATTAGCACGTGTTTCTTTAACAGACGATGAAAAAATTTACACTAACGCGCGTATACAAACGATCGTAAATACAACAACATAACGCAACGCAGTAATGTAATATTATGTTAAGTCTTTATACGCGCGGTTATGCCATGCAACATAAACGTAAACACTTCACGCTCGATCGACGAATGTCAACTTAGAGTCGGGGACTAAGAAGATTGGAGACTGATATTTCGACATTTTGTGGTAATATAAGCTAAAAATTACTACTAGCCCGTTCGGGCTAGTGCTTTTTAAAATTTCAATTTTTTTACTAGCCCGATGCCATTTTAGGTGGGCAATTGCCTCGGGCTAGTGCTTAACGTCGCAGACTGCCTTTGACCTACTTTTTACTATGAACTGAACTTTGCAAATTTTCATTCCACTTTATCTCCAAAACTGACAGAGATAGGTCCATAGTTACTATTGAACTTGAATTGGAAGTTATATACTGGCAATCTAAATGTGACCTTGAAATTGACCTTTGACCTACTTTTCACCATGAACTGAACTTTGCAAGTTTTTGTTCCCTTTTATCTCCAAAACTGGCAGAGATAGGTCCATAGTTACTATTGAACTTGAATAGGAATTGGATACTGGCAATCTAAATGTGACCTTGAAATTGACCTTTGACCTACTTTTCACCATGAACTGAACTTTTCAAGTTTTTGTTCCCTTTTATCTTCAAATCTGGCAGAGATAGGTCCATAGTTACTATTATGTTGAATAGGAAGTCACACACTGGCAATCTAAGTGTGACCTTGAAATTGACCTTTGACCTACTTTTCACCATGAACTGAACTTTGCAAATTTCCGTTCCCTTTTATCTCCAAAAGTGGCAGAGATAGGTCCATAGTTACTATTAAGTTGAATAGGAAGTCATATACTGGCAATCTAAATGTAACCTTGAAATTGACCTTTGACCTACTTTTCACCATGAACTGAACTTTGCAAGTTTTTGTTCCCTTTTATCTCCAAAACTGGCAGAGATAGGTCCATAGTTACTATTAAGTTGAATAGTAAGTCACATACTGGTAATCTAAGTGTGACCTTGAAATTGACCTTTGACCTACTTTTCACCATGAACTGAAAGTTTGCAAATTTCCATTCCCTTTTATCTCCAAAAGTGGCAGAGATAGGTCCATAGTTACTATTAGGTTGAATATTAAGTCACATACTGGTAATCTAAGTGTGACCTTGAAATTGACCTTTGACCTACTTTTCACCATGAACTGAACTTTGCAAATTTCCGTTCCCTTTTATCTCCAAAAGTGGCAGAGATAGGTCCATAGTTACTATAGAACTTGAATAGGAAGTCATATACTGGCAATTTACTGTGACCTTAAAATTGACCTTTGACCTACTTTTTACTATGAACTGAACTTTGCAAATTTCCATTCCACTTTATCTCCAAAACTGACAGAGATAGGTCCATAGTTTCTATTGAGCTTGAATAGGAAGTAATACACTAGCAATCTGTGACCTTGAAATTTACCTACTTTTAATGATGAACTGCTTTTTGCATGTTTTCTGGCCTTTAAATCTGCAAAATTGGCAAAGAAATGCCCATGGTTGATATTGAACTTGAATAGAAATTCATATACTATGATATTGAAATTAACCTTTGACCTACTTTTTCACCATGAACTGAGCTTTGCATATTTTCTTGCCTCTAATATCTTTAAAACTAGCAGAGATATGCCCATTGTTGTCCCTAGGTTTTCTCTTTTGTCAGCATATATGCACCACTGACAACACATTTCAAGGAAAACCTATAGGCCTTTTGTCTAGAGAATACAGAAGTGATCAAGGGTAGGGAAATGCAAGTCAATACGAAAATCTGCTTGATTGTACCATTTTTAGTTATATTTTTTTGCATATTTTGAGAACTCTTGTTGATTGCATTTAATAGAGCTTGTCAAGCACAAGACTGGTGATGGTGTCCCTTTTTGGAGGGGGATTCCATACGAAAGCTGGTGGTACAATATCTGGAGGCGGTATCGCTTCTCTGATCCTCTAGTATTATTCAGTATTTTTTGATATTTCAGCTCCCCAGTTCCAATTTTGAACTGTTTTCAGGGATTTTTATATTCACGTCTACTGTGTGGATGATTTTGATATGATGAATTTAGTGTAAATATGTTGCTCTTTTCTTTCAGAAATATGTTCCTTTTTTGTAGTTGTAGAATCTTCCATGGTGCTTATATTATTCAGTATTTCGTGTGCAATCTTTTGATATTTCAGCTCCCCAGATCCAATTTTGAACTGTTTCCAGGGATTTTTATACTCAAGTCTATTGTGTGGATGATTTTGATATGATGAATTTAGTGTAAATATGTTGCTCTTTTCTGTCAGAAATATGTTCATTTTTTGTAGTTGTAGAATCTTCCATGGTGCTTATATTACCTAGCATTTTATGTGCAATCTTTGGTTATTTCAAGGAATCTGGTATTTGAAAGTGCAGTAGCTGTATAGCATGATATCTCTTTTGTAACACTTTATTTAATTTCTTGTGTATTTTGTACTATTGTATTGTAATTTCTAATGAGGCATATGTTCAGTCATTTGTCATTTGCTTGGTGAAGTCTGTATAGAAATAAAAATAAATAAAGAGATGAGAATAGAAATACTTGTTTTGTAATTTAATTTAATTTTAACCTTTTAATTAAATATTTTAACACATTGAATTTAATTTAATTTGTGAAATTGACCAATACAGCTTGCAATTAAAAGCAAAAAAGATCATGTGATTGTTGAATGATGTTGTCTAGCAGACAGCATCCAGGTGAAATGGGAAATTTGCTCCAGGCAATTGGGTGGTGTTCCTTTGGGCTGGTCAGTGCTTGGCTTAGGCAAATCTTGGTTCTGTCAAGAAAGTATCCGTATGTCGGCAACTATTCCATAGAAGAATTTGAAATTTTGCATGCAAGGGGTCAGTTTTGCAGTGCGTAAAATAAGCTAAGGAGTGCTTTACAAATTTGTAAATTTGTGGCAGAATGGCGCGAAAAGGACAGACATTACCAGACAGATTACAGCGCCAAACGGAACGGCCCGCACGGTTTTATAGAGTAATGCCCAGACTGATGAAACTACACAGAGGTCACACCCAATGCATCGAAATCTTATCTCCAGGGTACAGGATGCACTGTCTTTCGGGATACGCTGCTGCAACTAAACAAAAGCCACCCAGTGTGTTCAGAACGAGGGGTAAATTGCCACCAAAATGCGTTTTTCAAGGCCCTTAACGAGCACCAAACTGGTTTTAGCAGGTTAGAATACCAGACGACCTGCGAGGTACCCACTGTAAACAGCGAAACATCGTCGTCTGTTTCTATTATGAATTGGGGCCATGACCGTTTCTGGGTAGAACACTGAAACCGCGTGACTTTTTTTATTAAGGTCAGATTTCACCTGTACCGCTAAATTGGTCAAAACAGAGTTTACAGACATCCAGAAGAGGCCTACGACGAAGCATGTACCGCATGAAAAGTGTCACGGGTCATTGACAGCGTCAGTATTTGGAGTGGATACCACATTGGTGCCAAAACACCAATGGTGGTCATCGATAAACACCTGAACCAGATCAAAGGAAGGAATAATCTGGGAACCATTTGACTATCATTTGATAGGGGGGACCTTAGGAACAATTTTAGGTTGCACGGTCAGATTGCCGGTTCACACAGAGCACTTTTAATAGCAGATAACTTACAGAACCAAGGGAATGAGCAGCTACCCTGGTCATCAAAATCGCCACATTTGAACCGCATAGACAATATGTGGGTAAGAAATTACTTGCCGAATCAACTGCTTACATGTCCTACATAAAAATTGGACCAAATTGGACAATTTTGGACCGATGCCTGGAATGATATTCCAGACTGAACTTTAAAAACTTTTCCCAAGGAATGCCTTGCTGCTTGAGAGCACTGGTAACAGACAGAAAAGGCCAGGGGTAACAGCAACCGTTACTATGACTAGGCACTGGCATGAGGGTCCATTGTGTAGCGTATAACTCTTTTACAGACAATAATTTGGAAAATATAGAGATCCAAAATATCTCTTTTAATGGATGTCGTATGACATAGAAAAGGCAACACTTTTCTGTTTGCCTCACTGTCGAATTCAACCAATGAGCTGATGTCAGCATGACATCAAAGAGATAATTTAAAGTTATTAAAACAATTTTAATCCTTATTTTCATTTATCAGTCAGCAAAATAGGAAAAAACTGATGAAATATGACTTGGAAAAAATACTCCATATTAAATGTCAAGTCTGTATATGTCCAATTTTCTAAGGTCAGTAATTCTTACAATTAAAAATGTTACACTTTACTAAAACCACCTTCATTTAGCATATAATGTTAGCTTTCTAAAGATGTATGTTTTGTGTGGGAAATATTCGCTAACAAACAAGTTACAGCCAAAATACTGAGGGAACCTCACTTTTCACAGGTACCTGTACAGATTAACTTGGCAAAGGGGAGTTTTCTAGGTCACAGCTAAGCGGGCTCTATGGGGTTAACAAAGGGAGGTATCTCGTTAAGTAAGTGCTAATTGCCTAATTAATTTTTTTCTGGGCTCAAACATTTGGACCAAACGTCAAAATCATGAAAGTGATCGTAGGTGTGAGAAATAAATATATGAAAATTATGAACTGTCGTCTGTTTGAATCTCAAGTAATATTAACATATATTGTACACGGCAAAATAAGATTTCAAAAGGACAATAAAGCGTGCTTCAAACACGTGTTATGTGAAAATTTTGGCTTATCTTGCGTGACACTTTGAGTAAAATGCAGTGCTTCTGGCAAGCTTGATGTTTTAGCAGATGCCCTGAATAATCCGATGTTTTCAAAAGTTTTAATTGCTATACTTTAATCAATTTACCGTAAATGACGTTTCTTTGAAATTAATTAATTTTTGTCAAAATGTTTGGCATATTACCATACTTAGCATATTCACCGCAATATGTTGATAATTATCCCATTACGTGACAGTTTTTACTTTTCCATGATCTGAGCAGATAAGGAAATAGATCGTAAGGTATCAGTTAATGAGTGGAGAAATTGGCTTTTTCCTTAGGAAAATATTGGATATGGTTATATCCCATACAGGAATCTTTTAACCAAGCTGCTTCAGTTTTGCAGAAGTGCTGTATTGCCTAAAAGGGTCCAAGAAATAAAATTGGTTTCATGCAATCACAATGGACAACAACTGTTGAATCTGGCATTTTTGTTATCCTTGCTCTGTTTTCTTTTTTGAATGTAGAGACACATTTCGTGTCCGTACGTATAGACATGATTTGTGTCTATTGTCGCCATAGATAACATTAAGAGATTACACTGCAAGTGGAACGCCATTTTATCCTTTTTTTTTTTTTTTTTGACTGTTCCTTTTTCACATTTTGGCATTTGAATGTGTGAACTTGAACTGCAATCAGCCTGAAGCCATTTACTATGTTTTATGAATGTCCATATACAAATAGATACATAGAGTACATTGTCAAAATTGTTGGTGTTTATGCTGATAAGGGTAGGCACCACCAATAGGGAATGTCCGAGATAGCCTTTTTTGAACATCTGCTTAGCAGATGACGTCAAACGAGACCTGGGTTGGAGCGAGATTTCACGAGAGGTGGGGTTAAAATCTGCCATTGAAACTTCTCTCGCTGTCGGGCACAAGTCTGTGTTATAGGATTGCATTGAGTAAAATTTGGCGTTGTCACGTAATTTGAGATAGAGCAACGCAATGGCGAATTGCTAATGTTGTGTTGTAGGGTGCATTGCAGTTAAAGTTAAGCGAGAAAACCAGGAAAACCATGGATGACGGACACGACTGGCAATCGAGAGAAGTGAAATAAAGAAGGAGAAGGTGGGCTTGATTAGATTTAAAGGACTAAGTGTCGACATATGTAAAGTACAGATCAGGTCGCAGTATTTTGTAGGAAGAAAGGGACCAACTGCAGACATTTGCACCCAACACGTCACTGGCTTCATGGCAGCACCTTATAGACCATATCATCTACGGTCGAGGGGCATATTAATAAGTACAGTAAGTTTTGTGTGTAGTTTACAGGACACAATAGTTTATTAATGTAATACAGCCTTAGTACTTGAGATTAATATTCTTTTGCGGTAACTATATCAGACAAATTTGCTTATACCTGTCCTGTCTCCATATAACATGTACCTGATTATGAAATACTGGTGAACCTTCCACACCTATTAAGTATACACAATGTTCATGTGTAACATTCCATGCCGGGTGGTCAGTTATGATAATTGCAAGGAAAATATAAATTAGAGTTGGTATTTTATAACAACGTTTATCACATAATGATATATATTTCAGGAAACTAAGTGAGTAATTTTTTTTTTTTTTTTTTTTTTAGAGCATGACAGACAGCACATATTATTGAACCAGGCAAGAACTATGAGAGTCATGTGGTCAGGTTAATCAGATGTTGAAGATTGCTCAGTGTATATTAATCTCTTATGTCCTTAGTTATTATGTTGTTGACTTAATTATATCAGGAATCAACACATGGCATTTTTGTCTGGGTGTCACTTACAGTATCAGGTATTTTCTTTATTAATTCAAAATGAAATATTTGGTTTTATATACATGCATACATATATGTGTGTGTGTGTGTGTGTGTGTGTGTGTGTGTGTGTGTATTGTACTGCACTAGTAATTTAATGAAGAAAATAATTTTTCTTGCTAGTATCATTCTTATGTTACTGTATTGACTTTTTTTAATAACTGTATGACCACTGTTTTTCATATCATTTACTCAGATCACAAATACAAGTTTGCCTGCAATGCTGTGTGTTTATTTGTTGTATCTGTGTATAACTGTCAATAAAGTGCAATGATTTTTGTGAAAATTTCAACTTATATGTTATCCATTTTAATACTTTTTTTTGTCATCTTTCCTGTCATTTAAGTCAGATCTGATCAAAATGAAACTTACATTTTGTGAATGCTATCCATTAGTTTCTATAGCATCATTTTCATAAGTAAATACATGAAGAACATTTACTTTATGATCAAGTTCGGGCCTTTTGTTAAGTTGTTAAGTTTGTATGTACACTAAGGCATTTGATCTTCAAAAATCCATCCCTGTAGCTAGAGGATTCAAGTCAATTTAGACTGGTTTACATTTGCCAGGCAATGTGATCCATCTTTATCCCAGAGTTTGCATGTGAAGTTATCCAGCCCCCTTTACCGGGTATGTCCAATATGATGTTAGAGCCACAGCATGTTTTATATGGTATCCCCACTGAAAAAAAATAATAATTTATATTCACTCACAATATCGAATTGGATGTGCCGGATACTAAACAGAGCACTAGTACTGGCTTTTTGAGAGATTGAACTAAAAGTGATAATGATGGCCTTTTTAGTTTGTGAATAAAACGATTCAAAAACATCAGCTGACAAAACCTATCATACACCAGTAATATATTAACAGAGATGTGATATACACTTAATTATAAATTAAGAAGTATTTCCTTACCTGGCAATGTTTAACATTGGCCACATGAATAATTGGAAGCTGCCGGGGCATCATCCGTCCGATTCTCATTCAATCCTAGCCACTTTCATCTAAAAGGCATGCGTATCAACGGGCATGCTAACTAATGTCATTTTCCTGTACCACAAGCAAATCTCTGGTGATGTAGCCTGTTTAAACACGACTTTTGCTGCGTAGTACGTCCTCCGGGCAAATTTTGCTTTGCAAGCGTCATCGGCTCTTAGCTTGGCAAATTCAACATGTCATTTGTACATACATATCAATACTTTTTCTTTATAAAGTGCAAAAAGAACAAGCCTGTAGCTCAAACATTTTGTAAGTTCAGCTATTTTTCAAGTAAAGAAATCGCTGCTTTACTTCCTTGTGGTCTCCATATTTTAACCCCACCTCAAGGCAGATCTCGTAAAATCACGGGGAAATTTGGTCTTCTCCTTGAGAACCCGGACAGCCTCTATTGGCTGAAGACGTATGATTCCAGTGTAGAACTTTTTATTTCTTCTGTAATTTCTTCTTTCAGCAATTGTTTAAAACATCAAAAAAGAACTCTGACTTGGGCGAGTCTAGCCATATGGGTGGCACGTCCCTTGTAAAGACCACACAGAAGAAAAGGAAATACAGTGATGATGACGATGATGATGACAGCAGTTACCATAGCAACAAGTTGACACCCAGCAATACAGCCCCTGCTAAAAGAAAAAATGTTATATCAACTAAAAAACTGAAGACTTCAGATGATGAAGGTGTACGTTACTTTGAGATACATGCATTTGTAGGGGCTTTTCTTAAGAGATTAAATATTTCTTTAAAACATAATTTCACAATCTGATGATTTCATATGTTACAAATGAAATTTGTAAGTTCCATGTATATTGAGAACCTATAATTTGTGCATTTCTATCACCAACAATATTCAAGGAAAGCTGTGTTACCTATTTTCCTCTTACTGATAAGTTGTACATCAATATTTTCTGCTTTCGGTCTGTACGTTTGACAGTGTTGTAATTTTGTTTGTCTTTATTGCTATTTTTATGTACAGACACAGATGTGTCTGTACATATTGCCATCACCTGCGTCTGTCGTCGCCGATGCCAATGCCGATGCCGATGCCGTCGCCGTNCAGAGTAAAAAAATAAAGTCACGCTGCAAGTGTGCCTGAAAACAGCCAGACATTATAATTTATTTTTATTTAGTAATTTTAGCCTTTCGCCCAGGTTCCTAACTTCCATCAATGCACATTAGCTACAGTACTAAAGGCTTCTAATATAATAATTTTCCTGATATCTTCTGTATTTAGTACAATTCAAGGTTTTTTCTGATGCCATATCACATTGAAAACCAATTATTAAACACGGTGAAGGAAAAAGGTTTTGCCCAATATATTTTAGTTTTGAAATTTCCTGCTAATGCTTACCTGTACTCACACAAATACTCTCAAACCTTATTGTAAGCAATGTATCTTTAACTTGTAGGAAAATGAAATGGAAGTTGAAGATTTGGACTCCAAGAAGGAAAGAAAGCAAGAGACAAGCAAAGACCTAAGGGAAGAAATTGAAGGTATGTATTTTTTTATTGAAAGCTTTATTTCTCCACTTAAAAAGCAAAAATATTTTAAAGTAATGAATTTTGTGCATGCCCATTGGAGAGCTAAATTAAAAAAAAAAAAGAGGATGTGACTGTGTCCTTCTGCTAAAAGAAAAGATAATAACTGAAAGTATTAACTATGAAAACAGAAATGTGACTTATTATCCTCAAACAGCTTACAGGGGTCAAAATGTTCTAAAAATCTTGCTTTCCCTGATTTTGTGTAATATTCACACACACACACACACACACACACACACACACACACACACAAAACTCCATACATGGCAATTGAAATCCAGCCAGATTTTAAATCTGCCTAGGAGAGATTTGAATTGCTATCTCGCCTAGGCGACTTTGAAATTTCAATCTCCCCTAGGCAGATTTTTATTTATCTTATCAAAAACCACGTGGAGAGATGTCCTTAGATATGGCCTTTGACCTTTGTTTCATGGTCAAACGGGTTAAATTTTTTTAAATATGGGAATTTTCTTTAAAAAAAATTTTGCCAGTTTTTGGAAACTAAGACCTAAGCTTTCATATTATAGTGAGGAGTTATACTTATGGTCTGTTTTCATCTTCATGAGTTTAGGGTCAATTTGTGCATTTTCAATGGAGAAGAAAAAATTAGATGCCCAAACTGAACATTCTCTCAAAATCTGGAACCGTAAATGATGGAGACCTCCTGTTTGTTGCAATTTGTAGAGCTTGTGAAGCCCAACACTGAAGCTGATACCTTTTTGTTTTCCATATGGTTAGGAGTTGCACTATATCAAAAAGTATGTCACAATGTTCAGTGGTGAAAATAAAAAGGTGAAGTACTTCAAAACAAGCAGAGATACTCCCATAGCTACTTGAACTTGAATAGGAAATCATATATGGGCTAACTAACTGTGACTTTGAAGTTGACTTTTGACCTGCTTTTTGCCTTGAACTGAACTTTGCATATTTACAAAACCCTATTTCTCCACAATTTTAAAAATGGTCCATCTATAGTTACTATTAAACATGAATGAGGTTAATCTCACTGGTGGCACAAAAACTATACAAAGGTGGTAATTTGATTATTATTTTATGGTAAAGTAAACTTGAAATAAAATTGCTCATTACATTAACTAAGCCATTTTGCCATAATTGGAAACGTTGAGTCTTGACATGATGTAGTAACCATTAAGGCTGCGCTTATCCACCTGGCGGGCTTTGGTAGAAAACAGAGTGATTGACAACTCTTGAATTTCAAGTTGGCTCTTCATAAACTATAGGGTGTTCATAGTTTCGGCGTATGTATATTCCTCCAAGGTGTAATTCTGTGTAACTTGCATTGTAGGATATGGTTCAATATATATATTTGACAACATGCATCGTGCAACTCGGAGTCAGGAAATGAGTATTACCATAGGTTACAGTTCTTTGGGATAGTGACCTTTAATAGCAATTTCCCAACAGGATTATGCATTTCTTTGACTTTCTTAACGATTGACTGGACAGGAAAGTGAGAATTCTCATAAAATTCTTGAGCTCGCAATAGATTTCCTATGGGAAACTGGGAGAGCAACATTTACACCCCTGTGCTAGTAGCCCTTTTTCTGTGAGTTTTTCAGTTTTTTTAATGCAAGTTATTCATTTTTCACACGTTTTTTTTTTTTTTATCAAGGTATGACTTTGAACTCCCATGGGACAGTTATTTTTTCACAATGCAATACACATTAACAGTATCATATATTTAAAAGTGAATGATATTACTTCTGTTCAGCATTACGTTGTACTGCTCTTGTTATATTCTGTTTTCTGTCTGTACATTTGACAGTTTTACTGCCTTTTTTATGTTCAGCTAGTGAAAATGGTAGATGTGGCTTTGTCAACGAAGAATTGTTTAGCAAATTACTGTGGCTGATTGAATTGAAAATAAATGGCTTGTCACATGTGAAGGGAATGCAGTTTTAAGTGTCACATTATGTTAACAGAGGGAATGACAGTAAACTTAAGGTTCATGGTCATTTAAAAATCATCTTTACAGCACCTTTGAGGAAATCTAAAAAGGAGAAGAAAGTGCCCATCAATCAGCCAACCATTATGTCTTGGTTTGAAAAGGGGTAAGTATTCATTAGCCCATGGAAGGGAAACTGCCTGTCCCACCAGTCATGACTTCTTGAAATGCCAGAGTACTGGCAAGATTTGATATCGCAGGTACTTACGACTGGAAAGGTTTATCTGAAAATGTTATACATAGTAACAAATCACTTATAAACATAGTTTTTTGGAAATTGTACTTTGGACCTGTTCAGATTTGGGAGGACCTGCCGATTTCTTGTAGTGGAGGTCCTCTTGACCCTCAATATTTGCAAGTATCTATCTATCTAAAAAGAATAAATAAATAAACCCAAGACATGGCTAAATCAATGGATATGTCTAATCACTAGGAGGTGTTTGTAGTGAATGTCAAAACAAAAATCTGGTGGAGGAATAAACATTTATTTACACTTGTCTAGACACAATATGGTAACGGTGAACTGAAATATAATTGAAACAAATGAAAGTAAAGGAATAAACACATATAAATTTCAACTTAATACAAATTTCACAATGAAGAAATTACAATAAAACACATACATTAAATAACTAAAATACATACATAACAGTGCTGCCTCCACTCTTTAGCATACAGTACTAGGCGTGTTCCAACCATGACAATACATGGTGACCTTTAATTACCACTCAAAAGAACACCAATCATCCAACATATGAGGGCGCCACTCACAAGACGAGACAACACAGTGTTTCCCCTGGCTTTCAAGCTCTGCGAGGTGGTAGGCAGTCCGCGATCCCAGCAATACTAGGGGGGCCCGGGGGCATGCCCCCCCGGAAAATTTTTTAAATCGTGGTGCATTTTAGGGTATTTAGAACTGATTTTTTTACATTTTATGTGGCACTGAATTATCTTGTTTTAGATGTTTTGAGGAGTAAATTCAGTAATGACATAACAAAGGTTTGGACAAAATTTATTTTCCAGTCTGTGCATTCACTATGTTTAGTCCTTTTCAGTTTATAGAACATACTCTTTCAAAAAAAAAAAAAAAAAGTTAACTACTTTAATACTTACAAGAAACGAGAAAAAGGGCTTACTACATTGAATTATTTTTAAATTGACCAAAAAGTTGATAAAATATGTTGTTTTTACCGTTTTCACATTCTTGTGAAAGTAACTGGTCAATTGACTTTGCGTGTGGGAGCGCTTCATCCTAATATAAAACTGCCGCAAAAGTTCTCTCTCTTGTCGTTCAGCGCAAAGCGACTCCCGCTACTAGGTACACGTAGTTTGAGATGTAATTTATAATCAACTTCAAACACCGTTAAATGAATTCTTCGGAATTAAAGAGATGAAAATCACACTTATCATCAATTTTAGTTCTTCGTTTATTCATTTATATGGTTCTATTCAGTCATGGAAATTCATATTCAATGCATAGGTTTCCACGCGAAATACTGACGTGACCCAGTTTTACAACGCTACTGCTTTCACAAAACTCACCCGTAAATCAATAGAAAATCTTCTCCAAGTTTATAAAATCAACGAAGTCCACTTTATTTGCTCCTTTTTTATCAGTGAATATTCGTAAACTATAAAAACAAACAACAGGCGGTCTGAATTTCGGAACATGAAGTGATAGAGAAAGTGTATTCTTGACACGTGATTAAATGGTGTCAAGAACAGTTGCCTCGTTTCGCTCTGTTTCTTATACTTCAAATAAGGCACAGAACTGCGAAAACGAGGCACTCACAGGGAGATAGTAACTGCTGGTTATTTTTAGGCATACGCGCATGCGTCTTTCCGTTACTACTAAATCAAGTGCTCAGAAGCAATGGGATTACGTATGTAAACAGAAAATGCCATATTTGCTTAGAAATAAATATAATTTTCAGTTAACATGAGTGAAAATATACTTTGTTGTTCCATATAGTCCAGCGAGGCGGTGCTTTTGACAAATTTCAGCGAGGCGCTTGCAAATATCATCGAGGCGGGCGCCTCGCTCATTTAAGTGCAGGGGAAACACTGCAACACAAAGCAAACAAGATAAACAACACAAACAAACGAAACGAAACAAAAAATAAACAGTGTTTATTTAAAAAAAAAATGAATAAACACCTGACGATCAGACATACCCATTGGGTATGTCCATGAAGAGTAGAGGTTTAGACATGTCTCGGGGTTTATTTTTAATTGTGTATAAGTGCTCTACATAGTTGAGCTGTCTTAAGTGCCATTTCACGAGAGAATCAACCAAATCAGCCAAAATGTGGCAAGGTGGGGGTCAACAGATTCAACCCAAATTTTCTGAGTTTGATAACTGTTACAAAAGATGTTGAAAACACACTTTAAAAAAATTCTGAAAATTCTGGAAAAAATAGATATTGCCATCTGAAATTTGGGGGTCCTGACTACACAAAATATCGTAACAAAAGTAGTGGAAGTTTGCTTGAGAATTCCATGAAGGATTTAACATTTCAGCTTTAACTATTCACTTTTTCTAAGGATCCATGCCAAGACCTTTCGGGTGATGTGTGACTAAAATGTCAATCACGTTGCTATAGTAACGAATTCGGCCCGTGAAAAGAGGGTACAAAATCAAGGTCAAAAATCAGCACTCGCCGATTGGTAAATTTAGCCTAACACGGCGTCGAATTTGAATAAATTTAGACAATTTCTGATAAGTTAAGGCATTGATCTTTGTGATTATGCAATAAAAAATACTGCACCTCGTCAGAATATGTAGGAGTGGACGTCGGAAATGAGGGGTATGAGTGGTGAGTTATACAGGGATTCCGGTCCACAGTGCCGTTCAAATGCGTCTCATTTTTATAAATCGTACTTTTTGTTTATATTAATATAATAGAAAATATTCTTAAAGTTTTATTAAGGTTATTGTAACGATTAGAGGATAAAGAAAATATTTCAAAACTATCGTTTACGACTCTGCGTCATTGACCCCAAAATGTGCACAACATGGCGGAAGGAGACTTAGATGTGAGATAGCGAATATTCCTGGTGCAGAAAATATACCGTGCGGACTCAGTATTCCATACAAATGCCACACGAGCTGTGTTTTGCTTAGGGAGTGTACCAGAGACGTTAAAAACCACTTAAAAACCTGAAAGTGCTTCATGTCCAGAAACAAGCTACAGATAAAAAGGAGCTTATTCTTCAAAGGCTCGGCCATTTCGACTTTGACCCCGAGAGTGAACTACTCGACTAAACTATATGTCCAGCACACAGGTTTCGTTTAGGGACGAACTGGACTACGTCCAAAAAGTGCCAGCACCCACTTCTCAAAGGGAAACCCTCTTCTTACCAAGCAATTGGCGTCGAGATTTCCAAGGAGCTGAAACTAGATTTTGGTGTGTTGGTCCCAGTAGGGTCATGTAAGTATAATGGCTATATCAGCTAATTGTAGTTTACCAACAATGGAAAAACCATAACAAATTTTATAACTGACCCAGTTTATATCTACACTATACAATGATAGGAGATCGTTTAGCATATTTTTTATACGAAATTATTGAGAAATGGAACATTTATATTAGAGTAACTCACTTGCATGTATTCAATGATTTTTTGTGCACATATATTATGAAACAATTTTTATTAATATTGTAGAAATTTAAGTAGTATATTTGGCTGATACTTAGTTGAAAGGTGATACCATTCTTTTTTCAGCTCTTTGTAAAAGGTGTAAAGAGAAAGAGTGCTCGTCACAGGGGCGTCTCGATAGTCTGAAGGTTCATTGGTCCGAAGGAATCAAGGGTTCATTGGTCCGAAGGTTCTATAGCGAACATTCGGACTATTGCTACGGCCCCCTTGTCACCATGAGAAATATACAGCAACTAAAGATACAACTGTAGCTTCTATGTCTAAACTTTCTTCAGCCGAAGAAGAAACTGAAGTAAGTTAAAATATCATTTCCATGCATAGTTTTAGCAATACTGTAATTAATAAGGTGCACACTACTGATATAAATATGTAGCAGTTCCTCCACTTCTCCAGTTCTTCTCATATTGAAGTAGAGATTTTGTAAATCACTCAGTTTGTTTTTACATTGTTAAAGTACCGAGTTTATTTGTAAATCAGGACTTTGTGGCTAGTGACCAATAGATGGTTTATTGAAGATTTGATATGAAAAGATTCTTTTGTTGAGGTACACTAATACTTTTTTCACCTCTCCCATTATTAAGGTTACAATAACTGAAGATCCTCTTTTTTCAGCGTGCAAGGTTAGACATGCCAGTGTCAGGCAGCAGCAGCAGCAGTGGCAGCTCACAAAGTAGTGGGAGGACAGACTTTGAAGCTTTTTGGGTCTCTACACCTGTAAAGAATCAGGACCTGGGGAATTTGAATAATTTTTTTGTTCGTGGTGGGTTTGAACCAGCCATAGGTCAACTTAAGTCTAGCTATGACACTGCTGCCCCAAGAACGAGAAGGTATTACAAACAGAAAGCAAGAGAAGGCATCAACTTGGTTCTGAACTGTTTGTCACCTGGTCAGGAAGAAGCTGTCTGGAGATATATTCAGAAAGCAGATGAGGAAACCAGTACCATCGACACACTGATAGCCTGTTATGAAAGTGCAGATTCAAGAAAACTAAATGCATAAATCTGCCACTGTATATGTATTTGTGCAAGACGTTTTTAGTCTAATGAAAGGCTCTACAGTGCATTTTTTATTGGTGCTTTATTTTTTTTTTAATTTTCAAAATTACAATAAAATATATATTATTATCTTTAAGCAATCTGATTTTCTTTGAATGAGAAATGGAAATGAATAAAAACAGATATCATCCACCTGAAATGAGTGCTTCAATAATAATTTTTAAAAATGAAAATTTACATAAAAAGTATGACCTTGCTCCAAAGATAAAAATATAATAGTTAAAAATGGATACACTTTGGAGCATTACATATAGGGATGCTGATATTACATGCTTATATTACATTCTGCATCAGCCATATGGCTTGTTCCCAATGAAAATATTATCCCACACAGATCAATCCAACTCCCCAGATAAACAGATTTTAAAAACACGAAAAATAACCAATGATTTGCTGAACACTCAGTCATGCATCCTTGTTGAACAGTTTCTTCTTTGTTTTTTATTCATCATTTCTTGAGACTTCAAGGGGAGCAATTTTTGTTCACATTTGTCCTTGCCTGTTTGTGCTGAATAAAGAAGCCTGTCTGTTCATATAAAGCTGGTATCACTATGGACAAAATGTAGGAGCACAGTGGTAGCACCCAACAACATCTAAACTAATATTTCTCCAAAGCTGTCCATGTTTGTTTTTAGCTGGCAGACAGATTTATCTAGCAGAAATATAACTGCAACCCAGTTCTAACTGGCTTTCTCCACTCAGTAGATCTGAAAAACAAAATGAAAATAAATTTTACAAATATATCCTTGCTTATAATTTTCTGGAAACTATGAAATTTACCCAGATGAAAGGCTTTTTATTAGCAAGGTCCTATCTAGCAATGATAAAAGACACCTTTCAAGCTAATTATTACAACAAACATCAATGATATTGAAACAAACATTGATTGGAATACTAAAAAACAATATTTTTCAAAGAGAAACGCATATAATCATATAAAAAGCCGAATAGAGTTTTTTTTTCAATAAAACTAATAAGCCATATAAAGGATGAATCTAAGGCAAAGGCAGGGCACAGAATCTTATTTACCTCGTACCTTAGGCCTAGTGACTGGGGCGAACAAACCTTGGAAATCTAGACACCAGTCACTTGGTTAGCAAAGGATTTTCCTTTCTTTGTGTGAAGTGGGTGTTGGCACTCTCTGGATTGAGTCTATTCCGTCCCTAGTCGAAATATACCGTTAAGCTTAGTAGCTCACACTCGGAGCGTCTGAAGAATGGGCTCCCTATCATCCTTGGTTTGACCCTGGACGCAAAGCACATTCAGATTTCGTAAATGATTCTCAACATGTCTGGTGCACTCCCCAAGCAAGATACAACTCGTCTGATATTTGTAGACATGATTAAGTCCGCATGCTATCTTTTCTGCATCAAAAATATTGACTTCTCACACCGGTGTCCACATCTTTCCGCCATGTTGATTGTGAGGAAGCACGCAGAGTTATGGACGTAAGTTTCGAACTATTTTCTTGGTCTTGAAACCAATAACAAGGACGCTAATCATTCGGAAAACTATTTAGAGTGTTGTCATTTGTATTAACATAAGCAAAAAGTACGATTAATAAAAACCAGGCGTATTTCAACAGTACCAGAGAAATGAACCACCGCGTAACTCACCGCTCACACCCCTCATTCTAGACGTCCACCCCAACGTATCCTGACAAGGTGCAGTATTTTTTATTGCGTAATTACAAAGCTCAAGACCTTAACTGTGCAAGAATTGCCTTATTTTATTCAAATTCGACGCCGTGTTAGGCTAAATTTGCCAATTTGTGAGTGCTACATTTGGACCTTGATTTTGGTCCCTCTTTTTACGGGCCAAATTCGTTACTATAGCAACGTGATTGACATTTTAATCACACATCACCCGAAAGGTCTTGGCATGGATCCTTAGAAAAAGTGAATAGTTAAAGCTGAAATGTTAAATCCTTCATGGAATTCTCAAGCAAACTTCCACTACTTTTGTTACGATATTTTGTGTAGTCAGGACCCCCAAATTTCAGATGGCAATATCTATTTTTTCCAGAATTTTCAGAATTTTTTTAAAGTGTGTTTTCAACACCTTTTGTTACAGTTATCAAACACAGAAAATTTGGGTTGAATCTGTTGACCCCCACCTTGCCGCTATTTGGTTGATTCTCTCGTGAAATGGCACTTAATACTGTAACTATCTATTTATCTGTCTAGCTATCTATGTATATCAAAGTTCAATGTCTTTATGTTTGCTCATGACTTTCTAATTTAAAATGATAGTGTGATATGAACTGTTCATTGATAATGTCAACTTAAAATTATGTAACATTGATAGAATGTTTTGTTTAATGTCTATTTATGTGCCGCCATTTTTGTCAATCTAAAAATTTAGAGGGCATCCATCAACTAGAATATCATGATCATAATTATTTGTTGTTTAAACTTAGGGTTAATAAAAGAAAATTGTCAGAGATCAAAAATGATTCAGAGTCAAATGATAGTGGGAGTCAAGAGGAGAAAAGAATAAAGACTGAAGATGGTGGTAATGGTAGTGCAGATGGAGATGATAAAGATGGAGCCAAAATACTCAGGTGAGTTTTGACTCTCACTCATTCTCAATATATTGGTCCATTTGAAGAAAACAGAAAAGTGAAATATGAAGTTAAACATATGTTATGGAATTCTACTTTTTCTAAGACTCTGGTGACAGAAAATGATTAATCTAGCATTTTGTGTAATTCATGGAAAATCAAAAAATCCATGCCTTGCTAGTATGGGGAAATTGTCCAGATTAGTAACTCCCTAATTCTGGAACCTTAAGAGCTACAGACCTCTTCTTTCAGCTTGTCAAGTGCAACACATTTCTTTTTCCATACGTTCAGGGGCTAGGCTTTTACAAAAATTATGCTTTTGCAATGCTCACTGGTGAAAATAAAATATGAAATACTCCAAAACAGGCAGGGACCCACCCATAATTACTACTGAATTTGAACAGGAAGTCATATAGTGGTAATCATACTGTGACCTTGAATTTGACCATTGACCTACTTTTCACCACAAACTGGACTTAGCAATTTTTCTAACCCTTATATCTCTAAATCTGATAAGGGATACACTCATGGTTATGATTAGTATTGAACTTGAATAGGAAATCGTATATTCACAATCTTACTGTGACCTCGTATTTGACCTTTGACACACTTTCCTCTACAACTAACACACAAACATCAAAACCTTCTCTTCAACTTCAGTGCACTTCCTCCCACTGGTGGTATAATACTAGGAGGCAGTATCGCCTCTGATCTTTTAGTTTTACTGACATATTTTGTCCTCAACCCTGAGTATATTTTTTCACAATCATTGCCTGGTACGATTTTTGCAAATCGTGCAAGCATTCTTAGAAAATGTTGTATATTGTATAAAACATTCACCTGTACCTTATCAACATATGGTCTGGCTAATCATGAATGTAAAAAAAAAATGAAGATTTTATTAATGACTAAAATACAAAAATTTAAACAACTGAAAATGATGACCTGCACAAGTAATGCAACACATTGAAAGTAGAGGCGAGCTATTAATGAGTTATTTAAAATGAACATCCAATACATTTTGTGAGATGTTTGGCCTCATACTTGCTCCCTGACAAGTTTCAGATTTTCTGCTTCCGTAAAAAACTAGATTAATTAGAAAATATGACGTAGGTGTGAGCTACAGGAATGAATGTTTAAATTTAATGTTTTTTGTGTGTGTGTGTGAGAACAGATAAATCTGGTGATTGTTATTTTTGTTTTTTAAGTTGATAGACTGTAATAGATGTAAGTACCACTTGGACAAATAATTCTTCTGCTAGCTTTCTTTTAATCAGATAAAAAAGTTAAATGCACTTATATGTTGAGATTGAGAACACATACACACATTTACACTTTCCAAATTAGAAGTAACAGTAAAAACAGTATGCCAGGAAACATGTGGAACCTTATATGGTCAAGTACACCTGGAGCTTGTATAGCCTCTTAACATCGACTTTTTGAGTTTATAATCCAATTTATACTTTAACATTAAGCTTTAAATTTATGATTATTTGAATGATTTTAATCTTATTTGCAAATACAATGGGCAGGTAGCTAATAAAGGAAATGTTGTTTACTTTTTGCAGATGTAGGGCTGAGAAGCCAGAAGAAGTAAAGGAATTACTTAACACAAAAGCCTGCAAACAAACTCCGTTGAAGTGTAAAGAATGCAGTCAGCTGTTGCAGGATCCAGATTTAAAACTGTTTCTTGGGGATCCAGATGATGCTGTTAGTTTGTCTCCCTTATGTATTTTCTGATATTTACTACAGTGCTTGTGGAGATAAAAGCTAATTAAAAACAGACGTCTATTTTAATTATAACTTATTCAAAACTTGAATTTTTGATGGGATCTCATTGCTTTAAGCAGTTTTGTCCAGTCATGACTAAATGCACTAGCTTCTGGTCCAATATCAATTATATCACTTAGTATATTGAAATTTGCAGATTAATGGGCCCAAATAGGCTAGCAATTATAACTTGATTACGGCTCTAGTGTATTTTTGAGAATCGGCTTCCTTGAGTTGTCACAGTTTTTAATATTTTGATAACATTTGCACTAAAACCTTAGCTAGGTTTACCGTTTACCTGCCTACAGCTTTAACATGTTGCCATTGGCATAATAAAGTGAGGAATTCCTGATGTAAATTTGAAGTTCAATTCTGATTTCAGAGAGAAGAATTTGTGACCCTGACAGACCCAAACTTGTCGTTATTCACTGGAGAAGAGGAAGAAATCCACAGCTATGATGAACGACCTCAGCACAAGGTTACCAATTTCAGGTAATTAGCCTCAGGAAGTTTCATAACATGGTTTTATGTTATCTGAAAGTTATGTCTGAAAAAGTGAAATTATTTATTATTTTAAGGTTGAAGACAGGATTGGTCAAAAACTTCAAAATTATAGCGTTTACATGTGTTGGACAAGATGAGCATATTCGGTGTCCACTGAATTAATTATAGTGCAACAGATGGTTGGGCTGTCCCTGGGGGTGGTTGATTCTTCATTCTTTTTACATTGTAATTTCTGCCAACTCCTAGACCATTAGAGTTAGGAAGTTGACACTTTGGGGATTTGTAGACCTTTTGCATGGGCACTTGAGAATTTTAGTATGCCAGGAGGTTGGGATATTCATGAGGGATGGTCAATTCTTAATTCTTTTCAAATGGTAATTTCTCTTAATTCCTATCATACCGGGAAGTTCAAATTCTGGGAATTGATGGGCCTATATTTCCACATTGTAATTTTTTCTAAATCCTAGATCAATTCTAACTCCCAGATAAATTAGGGAGTTTAAGCCTAAGGTATTGGCAGACATATCAACACAGACACTGCATTTTACAAAATTTAGCACCCCTTGGTGTTGGGCTGTCCTTAGGCGAACTATTTTTGATCTAATAAATTTTTTGCACATTGTACAAGTCCATACCACGTGCTGTTATGATTAAGATTGTTTCCAATAAGTATACATAATAGGACCCTAGCATTGTCATTGATGATTAATAGGGTCCTTGAATGTGAGCTACTCCTTACTATTTGAGGAATTGCAGGGATATGTAATGGCTACCCATCGGCACCCTTCTATTTCAAATTCTGTGTCACCAAGGGTGAGAATAAAGCAGGAGTCTATACTCCTATTTTTCCTATACTTTTGCAATAAAAATCTTTTTTTTTTCTAATTTTATGTAAAAAATTATATAAATGCATAATGTTATTACTCGCTGCACTGTAATTGAACTATACACATTGTTTTTCTTTCAGTGTTTATGACAAGAACACCCATTTATGCCCTTTTGACACTGGCATGATAGAGAAAAACAAGGAGCTATACTTCAGTGGATATGTTAAACCTATCTATGATGAAAATCCCAGCATTGAAGGTAACTTTAGTTTTCTGCTGTTTAACTTTTGAATTATCTTCTTTATTACAGTATAAGGATCTATGATTAACTGTTGAAGTGGTAGTACAGCAGTTCAGTTTGAACTTATAATGTCCAAAAGTCAAAGCATTAATTTATTTCAATTCCCATTGTGAAAAGCATGACTATTATACACTTAACCAAAAGAGTTCAGTTACATTGTTATTTTGAATAATTATATAATAACCATATTAGCTAAGGTAAATATTTTAACCAAATATTGATGGATAATGCAACCACCATTCGTTACTTATTTATTATAATGAAGATTTTCCTACAATATTACATAATTTCTTAATAATTGAAAAAGAAATTCATGATTACTAACATTTTTGGCCTAGTATAGATTAATAATTATATCCAAAGGTAATCCAAGAAAGCCACAAGTCATTATTATTATAATAATCTTTTTTAACCAGTGAAACTGCAGTTAGCACACTATAATTATGGGCCCACAGACCTTCCTAACATTTCTCACTTTTATTCATTATTTGGTATGCATATTCTTTATGGAAAAAGTGTACCTAAAAGTTGTTTCCCCCCATATGAATAACTTAAGGTCAATACTAATTGTAGGAAAGCAAACTATATCTGGAAGTTGTGGGCCACTATATGAAACCTTTTGGAAACATATCTACTCTTGAATTAGACCTTTATCCTTCTTCTCCCCATAAAACTCTCACATCATTTACCCAACCATACTTCTCTACAACTAACACACATACATGCATACCTTCCTTTCAACTTGAATGCGCTTACTCCCACTGGTAGTACCCTACCAGGAGGCAGTATTGCCTCTGTGATCTTTTACCAATATCTCTAACTAACAAGTCAAGTGTGTTTTACTACCAAATTCCTGTAGAATCTTTTATCACTGACATTTAATCACACCTTTTGAAGTGTCTCTGAGATGATCAAGTAGTTTGTATAATACAGTGAGTTGCCATATTTATACAACTTTGTTACTACCAGGTGGCATCCCAACAACCAAGATGGGCCCAATCAATGAGTGGTGGACAGCAGGATTTGATGGAGGGGAACATGCACTGGTTGGTTTTACCACAGGTATGATAAACTAACATTTTTACCTGTCAGGTGAAGTTCAAAAATTGGCCTGATCTTATAATTTTGAATGTTTTGCTATTTTCTTTTTTTGCTCTTTCTTAGCATATTTTATTCACCGTTATACAAATAAAATGAAAACCGTTATACCTTTTGTCTTCAAACTGATAAATATTTGTATAATACAGGCCCAGTTTGAAAATTGACTAGATTGGACCGTTTTTCCTGAGATGTGCTGTTTTTGTTGCTTTTTTCAGCATATTATGTCCACTGTTATACAAATAAATGAAAACCATGTCATATTTTGCTTTAAACTCGCAGGACTTGGACTTGGAACTCCCATGGGCATGAAGCCCAGTACTAATCAATTTTTCTAAATGTCCATGTTATGAGTGGTAGATAATTAAAAACTGATGGTATTTATACAGTTAATTATGTAATATTGCATCAAAATGACAAAAAACCTACTTTGTGCACTGTCACCATAAATGTTATAAAAGGAAAACTATGTTACTTATTATTTTTTTAAACTTACAAGAAAGATTCTTAGGATTGACATACAGCTCAAATAAGAAAACCGGCTCTAATGGATTATCATTTTCATTGAATTTATTCTTTTTTTTAATTATTTTATTTTATTTTATATATTTATTTATTTATTTATTTTTTGTGAATTTTTTTCATTCTGGCATTTTGCAAGTGTGAACTTGAACTCTCATGGGCCTGAAGCCTGATGCTTTTAATTTCATTGGTATTACCTGTTGAGCATAAGTAAAATTTGATGTTGAATTTGCAGTTAAGCATATTGCACTTTTGCATCAGAATTGACAGTAGCCTATTTTGTGCATTGTTTTTGTCTGCTTTTTGTCTGTACATTTGACAGCTTTGCTGCCTTGTTTTATTGTGCATTGTTACCTGTTGTGCATGATTAATACTTGGTGTTGATTAACAGTGCTCTTAACTATGATTGATCATTGCATCAAAATTGACAAAACAACCTATTTTGTGTATCTTTATTTATTGCTTTAAGTCTGTATGTTTGACAGCTTTACTGCTTTGTTACAATGTAGATCTTGGCCCATTGTAAATAGAATTACAGCACAGCGTACTTAAACCAAAAGCTGCAATACCCAGTTCAGAGCCTCCCATCAACTGAAGAGAAACATGATAGGAAAATAACAAATGATTGATTTTGATTCTTGCAGCATTTGCCGATTACTTTCTGATGGATCCCAGTGAGGCCTATGCCCCCATCATGAATGCCCTGCAAGAGAAAATCTTTATGAGTAAGATGGTGATAGAGTTTCTGGCTAACAACCAGGATGCAACATATGAGGATCTTCTGAATAAACTGCAGGTCAGCCTTTGTAGAATATGCAGAATATAAATTTTTATGCAGAATTTTTAAAGAATACTTATAAAGCTTCAATTTCTTCTCATATATCAAAACTTGCCAAGAAAAGTGACCAATTTTTTTTAATTTAGGAAAATTTATCAGGGACTTTGCTCAGTTTTCTCACTATTTGTGGCTTTCATGTGGTTATAGTAATATTCATAACAATCTATGTGTGACACTATATTTAGTACCACCAGCGTGTACGCTGGCGGTACTCATGGTTTTAGTCCCGACCCGTCTCGTCCGGCTCCGCCGGCTCCTGCGGCTCCGCCGGCTCCGTTGGCTCCGTAAGCTCCGCCGGCTCCGCGTACTGGCGCCGGATACAAGTCACCGTTACCGCTTCTCCTCCTAGACCGCAAGGACCCCTGTCCCCATCTCTTGGATTTAGGTCACATATAACCTCAACTTGAACCCCCAAGTTTTTTTGTCTCAGTCGGTGCATTGACCTGGGCGTGACGCTCGTTGAAATGCACCCTTGTCAAAATTTTTGAAAATTCAATGCCAATTATCTACCCTACGGAAGGAATTATGGGAAAAATTTCTACAGACGGCTTTCCAAAAGTCATATGTGTAGATTTCAAATATGCCCTTGGATTTGACCTTTGACCTTTATTTCAAGGTCAAACGGGCCAAAATTTTCAAAAAAATGAAATTTTTTACAAAAAAAA